TTAACACTCAAGAGCTTGTAGCCATCAATTCCTTTATTCTCGTGGTTTTAATTTTGATTCAGGCGCGATATTGTAAGAAGAATTTACATGCTTGTCACTCGCAGGGGTTAAAAGGTTAGAAGAAATATTACAAGAATGCAAGGTTTCAAGGGTTGAACGTCAAATCTCCTTTTCAGGGTACCAATTGCATGCAGAGAGCGGAACCTTTTGATTATGATGTGACATTCGGAGTGCGTCCAGTTTTATGATAAGTCATACTTTGAAAGCTTCTGGAGTTAAGGGAAGCTGAGAAGCCTCATTTCCAGTCGTTGCTGAGTATGTCAGCGACGCTCTCCAAAAGCATCTTTGGAGAAAGTGTTGTGTGACATCTCAACTAAAGGCTGTGAAGGAGACTAGGAGCTGAAACAGGCGGAAGACTAGGTGACCGATTCCGAGAACACCTTCGCGACGTGGAGAGGAATGACAAGGACACATCGAAACCAGTCGCTAGACATTTTTTATTTACCCAATAATTCTAAGCAACATATGGCAATCTGCGGTCTTTCCTTACACTTAGGTAGCACGGAAAGCCGCAAAACTCTTGAACAAAGGCTCACCTTTCAAACCGGCAGTCTAAATCCCACAGGGATCAACGAACGCTATTCAGAAGAGTCATGCAAGGGAACTTGATGGGGACGAAATGATTTCACGTCGTGAAGCTTTGCCCGTGAGGTGGCTCTTTATTCATTGTTTTGTTGTTGTCGAAAGAAAACTAGCAACAGAGGTAGCATTAAAAAATCTGTCAATACCAGTAAAATGTACCCATGCACCTTGCGTATCTCCTGCTCCTCTGTTTCTGTATATCTGTTCCATTTCAAACGACTAAGGGTGTTACTAAAGTAACACTGACGAATGACTGAAAACGCATCTAAAACGGTGGAATCTGAAAGAAATAATGTCAGTGCTGTTGACTGTCTTTCCATGTGAAGATGAATGAAGCATTGGTGTATTGAACGAAATGATCCTCAAAACTATAAGATTTGAATCACGTTCTGTCAAGAGTGTCTGAAATACACCTATTTATGAGTAACTGTTAAACTGCTCCCTCTCAATACTTTAAAGAATTTTTCCCCTACCAGGGAAACCTCAATCATCTGTAGCCCCACACCGATTTTTGTAATGAGTTATGTCAGTTTGAGCCTCAGCTACCATCACGGTTTCATGGAACTTTGCCTGAGTTTCCGTTCTTAAAGTTTTAAGGAAATGAAACTTAAAACAACAAAGAAATTGCACGCAGTTTAAAGTTTGGTGGTGTCGCCTGTTTGGTAACCGTTGTACCGACTGAAAAGCAATAGAAGTAGTGTAAGTGCCAACACGTTGTTTCTGCTCCAAGAAAATTAGGTTGGTTCATTTAGCTGTCTAAAAAGTCGTAACCACACCGCTTTTATTATCTTTTCACAATAACTTTATTCTTATTTTAAATAAATTTACATTTGAAAGGTGATTAAATCTTTAAATTTCCACGGTCACTGATTATAAAATACCTAATCTATGAAATATATTTGTGAACCTATGAAAATTATTCTTTCCTAACCGTAGAGACACTTGTTTATTACGAACTCCACAGCTGAAGTCTTTGTATGCCTAAGCACCTTTAATACCATTTGTAAAAGAACTACGCACTTCATGCTACATCGGAACCAGATTATCCAAATGCATTGCAAAACGAACAAAAAAAAACTAAGTCCTCTATTCTTTCTTCAGCAGGACATTGTGTAGCAATTTAAGATTGTCTTATCTAAGATAAATCATGTACAACACATGCACGCTTGCTACCATCAACAGCAAAAGTAACGGGGATCAAACAAACGAAGAAATATATCAGACCTTAAAAGAAAGTCCAAGGCCACCGTCCAAACACGACTGGATAAATTCGAAGAGTGGAAACACAACAAAAGTTTACCACCCACACAGGAACAGCAGAATCGCTTGATCGCATCCTTGTGCAAGCGATTAAAGAGGAACTCGTTATTTTTTTAAAGGGGAAAATATCCAGATCAGAGTGGACGGTAGGCCTTACTATAGTAACTAAGTTAGAAACAGCGCGAAACGTTTAATGATCCGAACAATGGCCGTGTATGTGTATCCGCCTCCCGGTTAGCTCAATGGATAGAGCGCTGGACTGTTGTGCGGGAGGTCGAGGGTTCGAGCCACGGCCGGACCAACACTCAGGGTCTTAAAATAAGTGAGAAGAATTTGCTACCTTTCTATAACATCAAGAAATGGTTAGATATTCTAGTCTTCTCGGATAGGGACGAATAAATGGAGGTCCCGTCTCCTGCAGCGGTTGGGGTAGGAGACGTAAATTCTAAAGCATCCAGTCCTATATATCTCGTTTTAAAGTATTTGTATAAACTCTTTAATGAGTCTTTATCGAACAACATCCCGCCGGTCTGATCCTGTTTGACTTCAGGCTGACGGCCATGTGCGGTTCGAAGGGGACTTTTTCATTTCCGGTTTGCGCCTTTAATACGGGGACCGCGGAGCTATGGGGTTGAGTGGGCTGTAGCCCCACCAAGAACAATTTGTTATTATCATTATTATTTATTTTAATATTTGTAATTTAAAAAAAGTTGACAAATTTTTCCTAGGACTGAAGCGCGTTTCCGGTGATTTCAGAAGCTCCAGATTTCAAAAATTGTGGGGGGTAGCATATCCCAGGACACCCTATCTAGCAGTCTTTCTGAACCAAGAAAGGCGTACTAAGTAACAGACAAAAGCAGGCTCTTCTCGGAGGGGAGGCCCCAGGACCCTCATTGATAAGTTGGTGTCAATGAGCTCACACTACGCGTGAACTAAAATAGCTCCTCCGATCTAAAATATGCTCCATGGCCCCCATTTTATATCAACGTTCATATAAAACTCAATTTTTTTGATGCAGCCTTTTGCCATTTGCCTGTTAAACTGCACTGCATGAGCAGCATTTAACAAGGTCTTCGAGCAGAGCGATGTAAGATGTCTTTTTTCTCTGATCAACCCCAGGTTACATTTGAATTTAACTACTCAAAAATAGACTCCTTAGCATTTGACAAATTAAATTAACTCTTCTTCCATAGCAACCAGATCTTCCTCAGTTACAGCTTGTGCGCAGAGGGCTGTCTGCTGTTTCACTTTTGGTGCCATTCTGGAAAA